TGTCTCTTCCGAACGAACCGTTTAGGTTCCAAGCGCGACAGCCCCCACGGCTCATCTCTCGCTGTCCGCTGCTCACCATTTTGTTTCGGTGAAGCTCACGTCCCGGAACTATTTGTTCTGTTAGACTCAATTGGTGCCTTTTCTCAGTGGTCAGGGTTTGCTTGGCTTCGTTGATGGCACGTATCCTTGTCCTTCTGCCGCTCCCGCTGTCGCTGTTTCTCCTGGTGCTACCGTGGTCGAATCTGCTGTGCCCGATCCATCAGTTGCTCGTGCGGCGTGGTTGCAGCAAGACCAAGCAGTCCTTTCAATGCTAATCTCCTCTCTCTCTGAGGAGGTTATGCATCATGCGGTAGGTCAGACGACGTCTCGGCAGGTTTGGACGGCGATTGAGCGTGCTCTTGGTTCGACCATTCGTGCCCGTATTCTTCGTTTGCTTGGACAGTTGCAGAATCTTCGGCAAGGGACTGAGTTCGTGGCCGACTACCTTGGTCGTGCGCAGGTCATAGTCGAGGACTTAGCCTTGTCCGGTCGCCATGTTTCGTTGGATGACCAGAATTTGTATGTTTTCCGTGGATTGCGCTTGGAGTATCGGCTTCTTGCAGCGACTCTGACGACGGGTGAGCCGGTCTCTCTTACTGAACTTGCGGATTTTCTGGTCGCGCACGAGTTTATATGTGCGGATGATGGTGCTATCGGAGGGCCTTCTGGTCTGGCAATGATGGCTATACAGCGTGGCGGCAGGTCTGGTGGCCGGAATGGTCGGGGTGGCCGTGGTCGTGGGCAGCGTGGCCGCGGTCGTGGTCAGAATCGCGGTGGTGGTGGCCGCTCGTATGTTCCGCGGTGTCAGTTGTGTAATGCCCAGGGACACACTGCCCATACATGTTTTCAGCGTTATGCTCAGGATTCGGCTCCTCAGGCTCATATGGCTTTTCAGACTGGTGATGCTGATTCTGCGGGTCCTCATGATTGGTTCCCCGACACCGGTGCTACGGATCACGCCACCTCGGATGCCTCGGTGATGTCCTCTATGGCTGAGTATACTGGCCCGGACACTCTCCGTGTTGGAAACGGTGCAGGTTTGCCTATTTCTGGTCTTGGTCATGCTTCGTTAACCACTGCGTCTCGTTCGTTTAATCTATCTAATGTCTTACATGTTCCCTCTCTTTCTGCGTCATTATTGTCTGTTCGTAAGTTTTCCACCGATAATAATGTCTTTTTCGAATTTCACCCTTATGTTTTCTTTGTGAAGGATCCTTCAACCAAGGCGGTCCTGTATGAAGGCCGCACCTCTGGTGGTCTGTATACGTGGCCAATGTCGCCTTCCGCGTCTGCTGCGTTCTTTGCGTCTCGGGCATCTCCTTTGGTTTGGCACAAGCGTCTTGGACATCCACACCATCGCGTCTTCGGTCAAGTATTGAAGTCTTGTCCTGTTAGTTCGTCTGTTAAAAGTATTAGTTCGTCTTTGTGTTCGCCTTGTCAGCTTGGGAAGTCCTCTCGGTTTCCCTTGCCTCATGTTAGTTCGTCGAGTCGTCATGTACTTGATTTGATTTATACCGATATATGGGGCCCTGCGCCTGTTACATTTGTTAATGGTTATCGATATTTTATTTTATTCGTTGATGACTTCTCTCGCTTCACTTGGTTGTTTCCTATGCGTGCAAAAACGGACTTATATGATATTTTTGCTCGTTTTCGTCTTATGGTTGAGCGGTCTTTTTCCTGCAAAATTAAGTGTCTACAATCAGATTTAGGGGGAGAGTATAAAAAATTACATACTACTCTCACTAGTCTTGGTATTGTTCATCGTCAATCCTGTGCCTATACGCATGAGCAAAATGGCCGGGTTGAGCGAAAACATCGTCATGTCGTTGAGACCGGCCTTGCTTTAATGGCTCAGGCTTCTGTTCCTATTCGGTTTTCGGAATATGCTTTTGAGGTCGTCGTTTATCTTATTAATAGGTTGCCTACGTCTATTCTGGGGAATTCTAGTCCGTATCAATTGCTATATCGCTCTCCTCCCTCCTATTCGTTTTTGCGAGTCTTCGGATGTCTTTGTTTTCCATTACTACGCCCGTATAATAAAAATAAACTTGAGTATCGATCGGCTCCCTGTGTGTTTTTAGGGTATCCTGATTCTTTTCGTGGTTATCGTTGCATGAATCTTGCCACTAATAAGGTTTTTGTTTGCCGACACGTGAGATTTGATGAATCCGTGTTCCCTTTTGTTTCTGCTTCTGCTCCGCAGGTTCTGCCCTCTGAGAATGCATCTGATCTGTGGTCTGTGGCTCCTGTGCGTGTTGCCTCCTGTTTGCCGTCATTACCTGTTCCGGCAGCTCCACGTGCAGCTCAGGAGACGGGTGTTGTGCCTGATTTGCGGCAGGCAGCGCCTTTGCATGCTGCTGCTCCATCCAGTGAAGCAGCGACAGCCTCAACGCCCACAGCAGTCCCGGTTCGGCGCCGGCGGCGTCGGCAGCTCCTCCCGAGGTCGCACTCTATGTCCTTGCGCAGTATGGGGGTGGCTGCCGAGGATCATGTGGCACTGGTTGCTCAGTCTTCTAATCCGGATCCGACGTGCTTTTCTCAAGCGATGAAATCTCCGCAGTGGCGTGAGGCGATGGACACTGAATTTAATGCGTTGCTGCATAATGACACATGGCGGCTAGTTTCGGAGGTTCACAGTATGAATGTTGTCGGCTATAAGTGGGTTTTTCGGACCAAGCGCAGGGCGGATGGTTCTGTTGAGCGATATAAGGCCAGGCTCGTGGCCAAGGGGTTTAACCAAGTGGCTGGTCAAGATTTTTTCGATACGTTCAGTCCGGTGGTCAAACCCACCACGGTACGTTTGTTGCTCTCTCTTGCCGTGTCTCGTGACTGGGTGATCCGGCAGCTTGATATTCACAATGCGTTTCTCAATGGCAATTTGTCGGAGACCGTTTATATGCGTCAGCCGCCTGGGTATGAAGATAAGAGTAAACCAGGTCATGTCTGTTTGCTACAACGGTCGCTCTATGGTCTTAAACAGGCTCCGCGGGCGTGGTTTACTCGGTTACATGATTTCTTGGTTTCTGTTGGGTTTGCTTCCTCGAAAACTGATGTGTCCTTATTTATTCACTCTAGCTCTAATTTTCAGTTGTTTGTTCCCGTCTATGTGGACGATATTCTTGTGATTGGTTCTGATCAGGCTCAGGTCGCTAGCTTAATTTCTCGGATGGCCACTGTTTTAAGGTTCGAGATATGGGGGCTCCGTCCTTCTTTCTTGGTATTGAGACGGTCTCTCATCAAGGTGGTCTTTTGTTGTCTCAGAAGCGGTACATGGGTGATCTTCTGAAGCGAGCTGGCATGGTTGATTGCAAGGCCCTTGGCACGCCGGTCTCTCTGGTCAAGGTGGCTGAGGAGTCCGCGGTTCCGTATGCAGATCCTACTTAGTACCGGAGTCTGGTTGGGGCTCTTCAGTATCTTACTGTCACCAGGCCTGATATTTCTTTTGCGGTGAATCAGCTCTGTCAGCGCATGCAAGCTCCTACCACGGCTGACTGGTCTATGCTCAAGAGGGTTCTACGCTATGTGAAAGGTACCACGCATCTCGGCTTATTTATCCGGAAGTCGCCTTCTGGCTCTATTCATGCGTATTCTGATTCTGATTGGGCCGGTGATCCGGTTGATCGGAAGTCAACGAGTGGTTTTGCAGTGTTTTTTGGGTGTAACTTGGTCTCATGGGTGTGTAAGAAGCAACGTACTGTGGCCCGTTCTTCCACGGAGGCTGAGTACAAAGCTATTGCGGATGTGGCTGCTGAGGTCACCTGGCTTGTCTCCTTACTGCGCGAGTTGCGTATTTCATTCACGGCTCCGCCTCGGCTATGGTGTGACAATTTAGGGGCCACCTACCTGTGTGCCAATCCGGTTTTTCATGCTCGGACGAAGCATGTCGAGATCGACTACCACTTTGTTCGTGACAAAGTGTCTAAGGGTGAAATACAAATTCATTTTATTTCTACAAAGGATCAGCTTGCTAACATATTTACTAAGTCTTTAGCCAGCAAGCGCTGTCAGTTTTTACGTGACAAGCTCAATGTTGTTGGCTATCAACCTTGCACTTGAGGGGGAGTGTTAGGACTTGTATTTATGGTACACTAGAATTCTATTCTTGTATGTGTTAGACTAGGACTCTAGTCTTACTTCCTTCCTTATATATCCTTTGTATTGTGTCTGATTATTATCATCAATATACAACTACATTCATTGTTGAAAGGAGAGTTCCAACCTTGAAGAAGAAGAAGAAAATATATAATTTTATATTGTATAAAAGTTCATGGCAATGGAGGAAAAAGGAGGAAGACAAATTTTTTTAATTCTCATCTACATAATTATATAGGTAGTAAACTAATCTTTATGAAATAATTTAATAGTCATTAATAGGGCATAGAAAGAGATTGGTAACTTCCCATCATAATAAATTTTGATTCCAAAATAATAAAGGAATATATATTACATATATATTATTCTTCCCACGTTACACACATTTATTTATATTATATATATACATATGCTAATTATAGAGATTATTATTATTATTATTATTATTATTATTATTATTATTATTATTATTATTATATTATTATTATTATATTATTATTATTATTATTATTATTATTATTATTATTATTATTATTATTAGTTTGATTTTACAAAAATGCCACTAAGTTTTTGGGGGGGAAATTTTTGTGCCAATCATTTTGCTTTAATATATATAGAGATAGAGATATTCCGATCCTAATAATGTTCGTTGTGTTAGACTATGGTTTATTATTATTATTAATATTATTACTAGTTGATGTATTCTAGTTTAGTCCTAGTCTATTGGCTATTAGATAGTTCTCTCTCCTGAGAGTATTAATTGTAATCGTATTCTGTTATTCAATTGATTATCAGTTTCATTGTTCATCTGGTATCAGTTATCCGGGCAAAATTCTCTCAATTTTTCCCTTCCCTCCCCGTCGACAATGTCGAGTAGTTCCGAGCGTACAGTAACCACCATCTCCTCCCCAAATAATTCCAACTCCCTGACGAGTGCGCACCACTTTGTGTCACTCAAGCTCACGCACAGGAACTACTTATACTGGCGAACGCAGGTGATCCCGTTTCTTCGGGGTCAAGGCTTGTTAGGCTTTGTAAATGGCACGCGGTCACAGCCATCGCCATTCTTGGAGATTCCCGCCGGCGACACATCAAGTGATGCCGTATCCACAACGGAGAATCCGGCCTACGCCACATGGGTGCAACAGGATGCATCCATTCTCTCCCTGTTGATCTCCTCCCTATCTGAGGAGGTGATGTATCTCGCGCTCAGGCAAACCACCGCACGTGGTGTCTGGACAGCCACAGAGACAGCTTTGGGGTCATCAACGTAGGTTCGCTGCCTTAATCTGCTCGGGCAGATTCAATCTCTACGACAAGGTGATAGCTCCACCTCCGAATACTTAGGAAGGGCGCAGCACCTCGTTCAGGACCTTGCATTGGCCGGGAGGTCTCTCACGCCATCGGAGCAAAACCTATATGTATTTCGTGGACTACGGCCTGAGTTCCGGGCTATGGCCTCCGCATTGGCGATCAACGGCACGCCGGTGTCGATTCCACAGCTGGCTGATTATCTTCAAGCGCAGCAATTCATCCACAAGGATGACTTCCCGGCGCACTCACCCGCAGCATCGGCCAGGAATCTTTCAGCGCTGTACGCAGGTCGCGGTCACTGTCAGCAAGGAGATGGCGGCGGACGTGGCAACCAGCGCGGAGGCAGAGGCGGTCGTGGCCGGAACGGCGGGGTGCGCTGTCAGATATGCAGCAAGCAGGGGCACTCCGCTGCTTTTTGTTACCGGAGATATTCCGAACCGCCGCCAACGGCGCACGTTGCCGTAGCAGGTGGCGGATCAGCGCCGGCGTCCTCTCCCACGGTGACGACCTGGCTGCCGGACACGGGGGCTTCGGTGCATGCCACCCCGGACTCCAGTATCCTCACGCAATCCGAGGAATATCATGGTGACGATGTTTTGCGAGTGGGCGATGGCACAGGTTTGGCCATCTCGCGTGTGGGTCATGCAGCAATTCCGTCTCTTAATAAATCCTTACAATTATCTAAAATTTTGCATGTCCCTGAACTATCCGCGTCATTGTTATCTGTTAATCGTTTTACTAGAGATAATAACTGCTATTTTGAGTTTCACCCCAATTTTTTTGTTGTGAAGGACTGCACCACTAAGGCGGTCTTGCTTAAAGGGCCAAGCTCGGGGGGCTTATATTCGTTGTCTGTTCTCAGTGCTCATTATGCGTTCGTCTCGGCTCGTGCCACTTCCATGGTTTGGCATCAGCGTCTCGGTCACCCACATAGTCAAGCACTACATCGTGTCCTACAAGAATGCCCCGTTGAGTCAAATAACGTTGCTATTCCCAAATTATGTTCTCCGTGTCAACTTGGCAAGTCTGCCCGATTTCCTTTAGATAGGGTAGTCAAGTTCAGTAATAATGTACTCGATTTAATTTTCACAGATATATGGGGCCCAGCGCCAGTTATTTCTGCGGATGGCTCCTGGTATTTTGTACTATTCGTAGATGATAACACCCGCTACTGTTGGTATTATCCTCTACGTCTTAAAACCGATATATATAAGATTTTTGATGTTTTCCGGGCGACGGTAGAACGCACTTTTTCGTGTTCTATCAAGTCCATTCAGTCCGATTTGGAGGGGGGGATACCAAAAATTACACAAGCTATTCTTGAAATTAGGGATTGTTCACAGACAATCCTGTGCCTATACACACGAGCAAAACGGCCGTGTTGAACGCCGGCATCGGCATATTGTCGAGACCGGCTTGGCGTTAATGGCTCAAGCGTCTGTCCCACAACGTTATTGGGATCATGCGTTTGAAACAGCCACCTTCCTAATCAACCGTCTTCCGTTTGCCTCACTCCAGTTTGATACACCTTATTATCGCCTTTACAAAGCCCCTCCCACGTACACATATCTACGTGTGTTTGGGTGCCTTTGTTTTCCCTATCTACGCCCATATAATCGTCATAAAATCGAGTACCGGTCAAGTCCCTATGTATTCTTAGGTTATCCACCGTCCTTTAGGGGTTACCGCTGCATGAGCCTTAACACCGGGAAAACCTATACTTGTCGTCATGTTCGCTTTGACGAATCCATTTTCCCTTTTGCAGAAAATAGTCACAAAATTCAAGAAGTGCCACCGGACATCTCAAATGTACCATGGGGCTCCAGTCCCGTTCTCCAAAGTGATAGTACTATCATATCACCACCGCCGAGTGCACCATCAACTCTGGTTCCCCGGGCACCGACTCGTGTCCCGAGGAAAAGGGCAACACGGGCCCGGCCCCTGGAGCGGGCCCACGTCATGCGGTTAAGGCGTATGACTAAAGGAACTGGAGAACAACTACATGCACTCACAGCTTCGACTACGGACCCCACTTGCTACTCCCAAGCGGTTGGGCATCCACAATGGCGAGACGCTATAGACCAAGAGTTCAACGCGTTACTACATAACAACACGTGGCAGCTGGTTCCTGCTACACCAAACATGAACATTGTAGGGTGCAAATGGGTTTTTCGCACCAAGCGCAAAGCCAACGGTTCGGTTGAGCGCTACAAGGCAAGACTGGTGGCCAAGGGCTTTAACTAGGTTGCAGGCGAGGACTTTTTTGAGACATTTAGCCCTGTGGTTAAACCGACCACAGTTCGAATACTAATGGCGTTTGCCATATCACGCGGGTGGACCCTACGCCAGCTGGATGTCCACAACGCATTCTTGAATGGTCACTTATCAGAAACTGTCTACATGCCCAGCCACCAGGATATGAGGATCCTGATCATCCCGATCATGTCTGCCACTTGCAGCGTTCCTTATATGGGCTCAAACAGGCCCCGCGGGCCTGGTTTCATCGTCTGCATAATTTCTTACTTGAAACAGGGTTTGTTGCCTCCAAAACAGATGTATCTCTGTTTCATTATTCTGCTGCAGAATCCCGAGTATTCCTGCTTGTGTATGTCGATGACATCATCATGCTCGGAAATAATGTTGTCTTAGTTGAATCCTTATTACAGCGATTGGCTACGGCATTTAAAATTCGGGATCTCGGGGCGCCCACATTCTTTCTCTGCATAGAAACCATCACAGTTCCAGATGGTATGATTCTCACACAGCGGCGGTACATACGTGACATTCTGCAACGAGGAGGCATGACTGACTGCAAGCCGCTAGCCACACCAGCGTCCGTTACTCAACCAGTTAGCCAGTCCACCGAGCCATTTGATAATCCCACGCAGTACAGGAGGCTAGCGGGGGCACTTCAGTATCTTTCCGTCACTCGGCCGGATATATCCTTTGCGGTCAATCGTCTATGTCAGTTCATGCACAGTCCCACACAGGAGCATTGGGGTTTACTTAAACGAGTTCTCCGCTATATAAAGGGAACTCTAGACTACGGGCTACGCGTCTCACCATCCAGGACCTCGGAAATACATGCCTACTCGGATTCTGACTGGGCAGGGTGTCCAGTGGATCGTAAGTCCACCAGTGGCTATGCTGTCTTCATAGGTACCAATCTCGTATCGTGGGTCTCTAGGAAACAGCGCACAGTAGCTCGTTCATCCACTGAAGCCAAATATAAAGGTCTAGCGGACGTCTGTGCGGAGGTGACATGGGTTCTGTCTTTACTTCGTGAGTTGGGCCTTGACTCGGCAACACCCCCGACTCTATGGTGCGACAATCTTGGAGCGACATACTTATGTGCCAACCCAGTTTTTCATGCGCGCACCAAGCATGTTGAGGTAAACTATCACTTCGTCCGAGACAAAGTTTCGTCTGGCGAGTTCCGGGTTCACGTCGTCTCCACCAAGGACTAGCTTGCTGACATTTTTATGAAGCCGCTTCCGGCTGCACACTTCGCTGTTCTTCGTTCCAAGCTCAATGTGGTGAGTCACCCACCTTGCGCTTGAGGGGGAGTGTTAGACTATGGTTTATTATTATTATTAATATTATTACTAGTTGATGTATTCTAGTTTAGTCCTAGTCTATTGGCTATTAGATACTTCTCTCTCCTGAGAGTATTAATTGTAATCGTATTCTGTTATTCAATTGATTATCAGTTTCCTTGTTCATCCGTTGTACGTTTTTTGGCAACCAGGTGCTGTACGTGTAATATAATGGACGGTTACGTTGCTTCAATTCGCTTGAATTCAGAATACAACCAACGTAACTCATCATCACCAAGGAATATATCTTTCAATTCATGGACTACAGTTTATACACAAACGTATGTAAGTATGTAACTAAACCATTTCTAATTTCTTCATGCATGCACTGCATGCACAAACCTGAAACTCTCCTGTCTGTATAAATGTAAACAAATTATTGAGTCTATTGATACACAAATCAATTCCCAGCTTTCATTATCAGTCTTCATTGCGAAGCTTAATTGGGATTGTTTGACTTGCTTCCCTCGAATATAAATCAATATTCCCAAAAAAAAGTGTATACTTAACTTATCTTCCGTACCGTTTCAGGCTACATTTCAATTAATATTTATGAATATTAAGAAAAAAAAAAAAAAAAAAAAAAAAAAAAAAAAAACTTACAAATATACCCTTATATTTTCCACTTTCTGTATCCTATATTTTTTTTAAACTATTGTTTCCCTGTTTCTCATTTGCCCACAAGGACCCTCACACCTCCGCCGAATAAAATTATAGAGAAATAAATTATGGTGACTCAATCTATCGACAAAAACTAGACTTTTACTCACTACGTACAAAAAGAACCCTCATTTTGAGAAGTTGTTCCCACACTACGGAAAGACTCCATCATTGTGACAAATTTCACATTTGTTTCTCATTTACAGTTTCAATTCTGTGCTACATAGACTAAAATGTCTATCAAAAGCCTGTCTTAAGCTTTAAGGTGCAGACAAATTTGAGAATCACTTTATACATGGCTTCTATCCATGCTTTTTCAAGAAATGAACCGACCATTCTCTTCTTGTTTTTACAGCCATTCTTTCGGGCAAAACAAAAATAAAACAGCAAAAGCAAAAGCAAAAGCTATACACTGACTGTATATTATACTGTTGGCCTATTGATTTTTTGGCATATTCTGTGCAGCCTCAACATACTGCTCTGCAAGTTTCTTCACTTTCTCACCTTCTTTTATGAGAAAATTAGCATTTTTGTCTTTGGAGTGATATTTCATAACTTTCTCAGTAGTTTTACTCACAGCCCACCTGTACTGTTCAACTGAGATCACACCACTCTTGCATAGTGGCCTGATATGCTCTTTGATATAAGCTTCAACCTACAAGGAAATACTCAATTAATAGTCACCTTCCAACCAAAAGAACCTGAAAATAAAATGTAGAAACCTAGAAGGTTTCTCAAAACTAAACCACAAAGCAATGTCTGCAATCCATGATTTTCTCCCATGGAAAGACATCTTTTCCTTTTTTCTCACTCGTGGTTTCTCATTATTTATTTATTTATTTTGCCTTTTTGGGGGTAGGGAATTAGGGATCACACAAGAATAGGGATGTGGGAGTAAGAACACAGTGGAGTACTCAAGTGGCAAGACATCCTTCTTTTTTTCTTCCCCAATCACGAGGAACATAAGAATTTATAACTTTTCAGGTTTCATTTTATTTATTTTTAATTTTTGGGTGGGGGGCATGGAAGCGTAGGGGTTGGGAAGCAAGAGCATGGGGGAAGATTCAGTAGTACCTTCCTTGACACAGGGCTGGTGCTATCTGATTCCTTGCTGGTATTGGATTTAGATGCATTGTCCCTTCTTTGTACATTTTCACCCCCCTCAAGGTTGTTTGGTGAATTTGCTGTAATAGAAGGGCACTGGGAAGAAGCAGAAGCTTCCACATTATCCATTCCACTCGCACTTTCTAGCTCAGATGATTTGGCTGCTTGGCTAGATTCACAGCTCCCATTAGTTTGTGAAATTTGGTTATTGATTGCCAGCTCACATGGCTTTATTGACGCCATCTCAGGGTACTTTTGGATTAGTGGTTCTTTATCAGGTCCATACAATTCCTCACATTCCGCAATAGAAAGCTCTTCACCTCCATCAATAAAGGAACTCTGAGGGATGCTGTTGTCTCTACTAGTGTCAATTAATGAGCTTCCTGCTTGAGTGCTCGCAACATCACTGTCAACTAGGCAAGAAGAATCTTTGGGACCTTCAAAAGCTTCCTGTCTTTCCACATTTGGTTGTTCCAGAGTGACATTCGATGTATCAGGGTTATGTGTGGAGAATATAACTTTCATTTTGGCTTCTACCAGCTGTGGCTCAGAGATCATGGAACTGCTAGCACCTGTGAAATCATCATCCAAATTGTATTCAAAATCCCCATAGATATCAAGCTCTGGAGGAGGTTCAACATCGAAAACATCATTAGGCCCATCATCTTCAACTTCATTTGAGAAGCAATTCTCTTCTTTGAATTCCTCTGTAGGCCTCTGTGGGGTACTTGGTGGGGAATCAGACAAGAGCCCAGCATTTATTAGTGCCTCATTGATTACAGCAGAGTCAGCAGAATGATTCTCAATTGACGCTTCTAATGCATTAGAAGGCATCTCTGTACTTTGCCCAGGATTCAACCCGGTAGCTTTGTCAGAACTAGTACTATCAGATCTACGCCGTAGCTCCTGAGAACAGAGATTAACATATACTAATTTGCTATTCGACTTATCAGCAACCTCCTTTTCAATATTAATGGCATCAGCAACGGCCAACTCTGTATCTGCAGTTCTACGAATAACTGCTAGATTTGCTTTTCTTAAGAAATGTTCAGTAAGGCGATAAAGTTGAGCCTGTTGCAAAAAATTGAAAATTATCAATGAAAAGTCACTGTAAACGCGGTTACATCAAGTTTGGAGCATCAATCTTCAGAAACTGAAAACTTTGCTTTATCAAAACAAGACCAACAAAAAGTCAAAAGAAATCACAGGAAGTGACAATATTTTAAGCTCTGGACAACACACCAAATCATTCTCCTAATGGAAAAACTAGATGCAACAAAAATCATTTCAAGCAATTGATTGTGCATATGGATCAATAATATTTCAATGCAGTTCCTAGAATCACTAGAGAGTAGAGAATTAGTTATACTATTGAAGAATTAGTAATTAATGTCTTCGCAGGATTGGTGGTGGTTCTAGTGGAAATAGTAACAATTGTGAGACTGCAACGTAGATATGGTAGCAGTGCTGGGGTAGTTAGTATAATGGAAACAACTTGGTAAAAATGTTCCACCCTGCACAGTGAGTAGTTGTAAATCCCACCACAGGGGTGCATTTATAGTTACCAATTATGTTTTGAGGAACAAATGACTTTGGATTTAGCCTTTGCTCAGAAGAAAATAGGGTAGCAATTTTAGCATTAAGTTCAATTACATTTGTCAAAACACACTACGCATTTATTTTGATTACTTAAAGATGACTTTGTTTCCTTGTTATTGTCTTTTGGTTCTTTTCTGATTCCTGTTCTCTGATTTTAGTCAGGAGGATTCAGAAGTAGGTAGTAAGTTGCTGACATGTATGATTGGATTGACCAAGCCACCATTTCTATGATGAAGGGAAATGGATATCGTTTTTACCTGCCTGATTGACATAGGAACCTTATTATGACGACTGGGAGCCAAAACCGGTTGCATGTCTTTTGGCAGTTGAGCCTATTACAATTGCAGAATAACATCAGTTCAGAGGCCAAATAACAGCAGGTAGAAGAACAGTATTTAAAGGGAAGTCAAAAACGTACTAGCAAGGGATAAGTTTGTTTCAATGCAGCATTATCCTCTGCATTTCCATCTGCTGCATTCTTAGTAACAGCTGAAGCTTTTCTAGCAAGAAGCTCTAAAGCCCATTTCCTTTTATCTGTCTTTGTATTATCAGATGGAAGGACAGATTCCCCCTTGGAAGGTATGGTGCTGCTTGATGTGGAGTTAGATGACCCTTCTAGGCACTTGTTTGAATGTAGTCGGGAAGAAGAATCAGGTTTCTTATTAGGAACCATTTTAGGGGCTACTTTGGCAGTCAAAGGAGGAATAGGGACCTGTTTCAAAGCTTCGTTATTTTGGGGAACTGTGTCGGCTTGACTTGGAAGAGATGGTTTTGAAGCATTTGCTGGAGGGCCATTTTCTGTCATGTGCTCAGACATTCCACTAGTATTAAGGGATGAGACAGGCTTAATGCTATCTTTTCTTGGGAAAACAGAAGTATCTGCCAAATACAGCCTTGATAGAATGGAACCCGTTCCCTCTCCTGCATTTGTGTGCTTTATCTCTGCATTCCCAGAGTCATCCCTCAAGAGGTTAAGAACCGACTTTAAGGTTTGAATTTTTTCAGGCTTTGATGCTTTTGAGCAGCGATGTTTCCAGAATTCAATTTCACAATCTCGAGTCCATGCTCGTTTTCTCCTCCCCCCAATCCCATAAATTTTTTTGGTTAGGTTTTCACGAATTTTTCCCTTCTGCAAGAGTGACTGCTTTGCCTTCAGATCTATATGTGACTTCATAGTTTCAGTTGTTGATCCAGCCACAACAGACCTAAAAGCAGCCAGAAGTTTTGGATCAAAAATGTTTTTATCAAGCTCCTCAGTGGATTTGCTGCGAACAGCTTCTCTGATATCCTTTCTTAATTTTTGGACTAGCACAGATGAATCTTCACCATCAACTCTTCTCATTATTTTTTTCACTCTCAAGCCAGCTGCATTTTCCTTTTGCTTACTGGACATGCCATCAGGATCGCTTCGTGCACTTTTCTTCAAAGGTTTACGACTTGTACCCTGAACTATATCCATAATATCAATGTCTGCACTTTCCTTTTTGGATATGCATTTCAGCTTTCCATCTTTAGGGACAGTTACACATGATTTGGACTGGTCATCTGAAGTACTTGTAACCTTTTGGTCCTTTGGATCAGTCTGTCCATTGCCCTCAGTTTTGGCTTTCTTCAAATGATGTGGATTCTCACTCTTACCTTTACTTCTCCTTTTTTCAGCATCTCTACAAACACAATCACAATAAATATAACAGATATGGTAGAAGTGAATAAACTACTGAAAGGTTCAACAATAATTTTTGTAACTGGCCAAATAATATAACAGGAATTGATCTCAAGATTTGCATTTAAGAAAGGAAAGCAAACATTCCTTCTACAACACAAAAGTCATTTCTTTTAGACAAAAGGGGGTGTATAAAATTTTACACTGATATTAATCTATTATTCCCATGTATACAAGAAAGTGGTGCAAAATATTTGCATACTCAACATATTTTAAGGGGAATATTGTAGCTGATCCCAACTAGATTTGAATAAAGGCTTAGTTGAGTATATTCAATGAAACAAAGATTCAATGGGAATAATAGAGTAATGGTGTAGTGCCAAAAAAGCATGGTGTTAAGGGAGATGGAAATAGAACTGCCAAGGATTTGTACAAAAACCTGATTTCTCTATGTTTTCTCTTAGCACCAGCAATAGCAACAGGGACCTCCTTTTCTGTCATCAGCCTGTCACCTGAGTTATCTGCTGAAAACCCTTAAGAAGAGACAATAAAAGCAAAAATGAACATCTTTAATCAAATCATTTCAAATCTGCCAATGAAACTACAATTTGCTAAAAACTCTGAAGCTCAAGAATACTCCTGAAAGGAATAAAAAAAATTTATCTGATCCCCCTCACTTTCTTTGGGTGCACACATCCAGGCACTTGATGTTCATCCATTTTACTAACTCTCATCCAAAGTTTTTAAAGCAAAAAATAAAAAAAAATAAAAAAAAATAAAAAAAAATAAGCACACCAAAGCAACAAGGTTGGGCTTTGCAAGTGGAAGTGCAAAGCAAACCGCCGCTTTTTCACACGAAGCGACACTTCTTCAAAAAATTACAATTACTTAATTAGTAATGCAAAATGGCATATACAATGGTTTAATGTAAATTCTAATGCAAATAATCAATATTGTAGCACAAATCACAATAACATATTTAAATGATAATTAAAGTTAAATCAAGAATCAAGATTTTAAGACTTTAAGTTATTAATTTGTTTATATAAATATATTATTATATATACACTAAGTCACTATAGTTTATAAAAGTAGAAGAAAAAAAAAACTTCTGTCTTTATAAAAATAGAAAGTAGAGGAACCCACTATTGAGAGCCTGAGAGGAAAAAAAGGAAGCTTGTTGAACCATTGAAGTGAACCAAGATGCTCGAGAGTCTGGCCAAAAAAGGGAAAAAAAGCTTGCGAGGTATCCAAGAGCTCACATGAGCCGAGGTCAAAGATCGAGAAGTGGCAAATCGAAGTTCGGCTGGAAGCGAGGGCACAAGGAAGTCGGCATTTGGGTTTGGCCGTGACGAGTTGTCAAGTCGCCCCTTTCAGAAGGCTGGAGAAGGTCACGACTTGCAACTCAAACCCTAATTTCATATCCTTTATGTTTTTTTTTCCTGTTAAATCTAAGATTGGGCCAAGAACACTCAACTGGGCTGGGCCAAACCATATCACTCACCCGGGCTATAATGCACATGGGCTGCACATGGGCCAAACCATGGACAACCAGGCAATTTTGAATCTAGCCGATTGACCACTTGAAATTGGATTGGACCATCCCCTGAAACGAAAGCTTTGGACGCCCGAACAAGCTCTGATACCATGTTAAATCTAAAGATTAGGGCAAGGTCATTCAACTGGGCTATAATGCACATGGGCCAAACCACACTAAAAGATTGGATCCAATCAATTAGCTAGTTTAATCCATGGCCTTATAAACCCATATGTTCTCTCTTATATTTTCAATGTGGACTCTTAACATTTCCTAAGGGTTGATAATATGTTTCAGTAGTTAGACTACGCGTCACGGGTCTATGGTTAACGGAAGAAGAAAATGGTTTACCTATGGTGGTTGATTATAGAATAAGAGAGGAGAAGTTGGAGGAAGAAACTTCCTTTTGATTTTATTCAATTTCCAACTTAACCAGACAAATTAATATTCCCATATATATAGGAGGTACAACGAAAGATATTAGGAAATAATATTCTAAAAACTGCTAAACTAAATATGAAGGCAATCTTTAATAAAAAGGAAACAACATAACTAAACTAGTAAAGGAAACAATATAACAAAATTGATTCTTAAGGGGGCAGCAGGATCTGTATTGTATTAGTTGACTGCACTTCTCATGAGAAAGCCTTGCTTTGCAGCGGCTTGTCGCTTCGTCACTCCATCGAAAAGCGGCTACTTTCTCACGAGTTTGCGCCTAGCCAAAGTGAAGCGACTTCTCGTCGCTTGCTCGCTTATGCACTTTAAGCGCAAAAGCGAGCGCTTTTAACAACTTTGCTCTCATCTATGTTGTAAATATTACAAAAATAAAATAACAGGGCTCAAGAGCAAGCCATTTAAGGAAAAATATGCAATTTGCATGAACAACATAAATTACAAGATAACAAGCAAATATCAAAAGTATGAAGTTACCTTTTGTACATGATCCCACTGTTAAACCGAGATGAAGATCTAAACCAGGTTCGATCACCTTGTTGTTAAGTGTCTGGACAGATCTTTGTAGAAGTGTCATCCCACTTGTTACTTTATCATTAGTGTTTATCTCCACATTAGCTAATGTAGAAGAATATGGAGTTGAATCAGAAGACTTATGGAGTGAAGAGGGCAGTTCTTGGTCCTCCGGCTCTAGGTTTGGCAGAATACACTTACTGTCATCCAATACTGAATTGTGAATATCGACAACAGAATTAGATGATAATGTGCTAGGTTTTATGTCTTTGCTAGAATTTGAAGTCGAAATTTGTCCGTCTGATGCTCCATCCTCATGATATCCCTCAACCATTGAGACAACAACAGCAGTCTCACCAGCATCAGCAACAGCAACACACACTTTTCCAGAGAAATCAGGCTCAATCGAGGAGTTGTTACTTGCATTTTCTGGATCACATTGGTTGCTGGACTTAGATACTGGAAGCACATCCAATTTGCCAGGGACATTGTCAGCAATACATCTGCAGAGTAATACAAAAGTTATGCTGCCAGATATCTTTGAGATTTAGCAAATGACCACATCCTCTTATTATATGCAATTATAAGAGAGAGAGAGAGAGAGAGGGGGGGGGGGGGGGGGGGGGGGGGGAGGGGGAAGCAAACCCTGCTAACAGAAAGTATTTTGCTTGAACTTGACCCACACATTAAAGGACAACAAAGGAAGATGCATGCCAAAAGTTATAAACATTGACCTAATCTGTGCCCCCATGGGACTGCAACATGTGAATGGAAATATGAAATTTTGGGGAAAAAAGTTTCCACCTACAGTACCTTGGGCATAGCCATGAGTTCTCACAAGTGCCTTCAGGGTCAAATCCAACACAAAAAGCATGGTACCTGATCAGTCAAATGCCAAAAATTAATAGGAAAATCAAAGAAAACAAAATATATAGGAAAGAAGAAATAATCAGGTCAGCAATTGTTCAATTCAGAATTGGTAATTATTTTAGTATGGTTAGATGTGCAGAGCTTCAAAAATGTTCAAGACCAAGTTTACCATGTGTCACATGAGTCACAAGCAATTGATGTATCAAGATTTGAATCAGCCTCAATTCCTGCTGATTCAGTCCGAATTTTACAGCCATCTCCATCTAAGCAGACAACTGCCTACAAGACGCAAAGTGCATTGAATCACAACATCACAAATTATTGATTTCTACAATTTCAGGATTGAAACTCAAAAAACAAAAAATTAACCAACACAACACCAGAGACTTTCTATTATCAGACAAGAATACAATAAACATTTTTCCTTATTCAACTTTTGTTGTTTGAGAGTTTATAATTCACAAGCACCACACAGATTTTAACTTACATTCTCATGAATATATAACTCACAAGCATCATACAGATTTTAACTCACATTCTCATCAATATAGTATGATGGAAATGAGAGAGTATTGTTCTTTCCTTCAATGGACCAGTCATCATCCCTGTAAAGATCAGGAAAATCAGTGTCCAGTCATCACAGGGTGTGAAACCAATAGTAACATAAGCATCTCACTAACAAATATCAGACAGTATAAAAGCTTCTCAAAGCACAAATAACAGAAATGTATACTCATAGGCTTCTATCTTCGCATGTATAATCTATTATTAACCATTTAACCATTTTATTGCTTTATGTCTATATAACCCTTACCTTCGTTCTTCAGAATGTATGATAATCAGGAATGCATTGGTTTCAATCAAATACATAAATAGTAAGATACGTGGAAAAGAATACCTGAATGAATCATCATCACTTTTGTTCCCTCCAATAGTATCAAATACCTTCATGGCATAAATATGGATGCATACGCATTAATTTCTATTTGAGAACTTGAATATCCAATATACAACTTGTTCAAGCATAATATCACCATGAAAATACAAAAATCAAGGAGAGATATGCAACCATTGCATGCATTACTGCAAGATAAAATGAAGCAATACCAAGTAATTTCTGTCACTCACCGGCACACAAGTGATCAATTGAAATTCAATCTGGCAGAGTGGGCATAAGTTTGTGATGGTGGCCCAATTATCAATGCATGTAAAACAGAACCTGGAAGTTAAAAAGTGAGATCTGGTCATCATTTAGATCTGAGTAAACTGTCACTTCAGCACACACAAATCACAATCATATCCTACTAAGAACTGAAAGCAGTCCCAAAGCACAAAGCCATCAAAAACATATCACCATATGATCCCCACCTTTGCTCTTTTGCCAGAAGAGGGAAGGGCATGATTAGTTTGCAATAAGATTCTAACTATCAATAAAACTAGAACTAAAGATTTAGTCTAATACCAATGTTGGCAACAATCAAGAACTCCTCGGTCAATGACGATATCCATACATATACCACATCTTTCACTCTCAAAAGTTGAAAGATCCTGCATCAGAAAAATCAAAATGCACTTGAACATAAACTTGGTGAAGCAGAGATCAAGAAAACCTTAAACCAATTCTTCAATTCAGGTTTGATGAAAGAGAAGTGTGCCTTAGGTGATCCAGCCTTCACAACAAAAATATGCATGAAAATAATAATAACAATAATAAAGTACAGGTGTAAATTCACTCAACCCCAAATGAATTGACCAAACCACACATTTCCTTTAGCTTATATCCCACCATGCATAGCAAATTCAATAAAGTTACAATTTCTCATTCTTCATGCAATTTTCTTCCTTCTATTCTGGCTTCCAAGACTACAAGTTACAACTCTTCTTCTATTCATTCATGTTATTTTTCGCATTATCAATGCATACACACTAAGAGTACTGGTTCTCAAACTATCCGGAACTATATAGCAAGCTAGTATATAACTGCGTAGTAGAATTAAAAATGCAAGCTCAAGATGTTATTTTTGCTCGTAAAAGAAACAATTGCACACCTCATATTGATTTTTTTTTTTAAGTGTAAAAGCACCACTAAACTGACTTTAGATTTTTAATGCAAAAATAATAATAAATAAATAAATAAATAAACTGATTTTTAATGTAACAAGAGGAAAAATAAAATTAAATTAAAAACTCACTTCAAAGTTTTCATCAATGCCATATTTTTCATCTTCCGGCATTCCATCTGTTACCAATTCCACTTCCATAGCTGAGCATACACCTGAACTACAAAAGCTCGAAAATCGAAGCTCCAAATTCTGAGTAAAAATAATATACGTACGTATACGGATCGTACATAAAACGTATTTCCCCAGTGAATTGTACTTAGGGTTTTAGAAATTTCGATTTTATATCAACGGGTCAGAGGAACTCAATAGCCATTTTCAGCTCAGCTCGGGCGTCCTTTCTGAGTTTATGTATGCCCATCGGAATCATAAAATCTGTACTGATTATTTGCTTTTGACTGAAAATTGAAGGGAAAAAGAATCAATAACAGCGAAGAGAAAGAGCCGTGTTTGGGAGCGTCAAAATGAGTAGCACCCTAATCAGCTTGTGAGTGTCCGTGCACTCTCATTTTTTTATTAGAGAAATTAATATTTCACTTGTGCGATGCACGAATTAAATTTTCTAATATAAATTGTATAGTGTATTATTATATAATTCTTGTAAAATAGTTGTTATAAAATAGTAAATTAACACCAGAATAATAACAATTTTGTTATAAATATTTTATTAGTGGCCATTAAACCATTAAACCTTTCAATAGCCTAGCCTTTAATCATGTATTGATGTTGAGTATGTGAAAGGTTGTATGAAACCTTATATAATGGAGTGAAGGCTAATGAAATGACACACATATTGTTGTGCCCTACATTTGGTGTTCTTCTTCTTCTTCTTTTTCTTTTCTTTACGTATACACGCATACATATATATGAACCTCCGGGCGAGTTACCGTGCAAACATCACGTGAGAACAAAGATAGTTGATAGGTCAAATTATAACACGTTATCAGCACGAGTCTCTATCGTAATCTCCGGTGAACGGTACTATTGGTTCATTTTTCCTATGAATTTTTGTTTTTGAATCATATGCCATTGTTTATATATAAATATTATGTGTATATATGGCTATGAGTTTGGTTTGGAACCTTCAATTATTGTTTCTATGAAATGAGTGATAATTCTTCAGAGAAAATTTCAATTTTGGTCCACTGACTATTGGAGTTATGTTAATTGCAGCACTTGACTTTCAAAAATGATAATTTAGTACCTTAACTATGCAATTCTATCAATTTTGGTCACGCCGGCCAAATTGCCGGCCAAATCTCACCGGAAAAATTTTAATGGTCAAATTATGAGGGTAATTTAGTCATTTTATTCCTCTTTTATTTCTTCTCCAATCTTCTCTCCATCTCCGGCGACAATTGATTTTCCGATGACTTGAAATTTTCTCTATACATTTATATAGAGAGAGAACTGAAGAGAAAAATAAAAAATAAAAAAATACACGCTTAAACACACTATACAGATAGAGGAATCGATCGGTCAATTTCTTTATATCTTTGAATTGCCATTGTGGAATTGATTTTCCTCAGACTTTGTTCTGCGATTGTGGGATTTGGGTTGTCATTTAATTTGGTCGCTTCTCGAATTGAGATCCCGTAGTTTGATTTTACGTCGAGGGAATCCTCGGATTCCTTGTCGTTTGCCGCCGGTTCCCGGGATTTATCTTTTTTTTTTTTGGCGATCGTGGCCGAGGTCGGGTCGTCGGAATTGGAATTGCGTTGTTTTCCGAGGTAGAAAGGGGGGCTCGGGATGAACGTGTTGACCTTCGCAGTAGGTTTCTGATGTAATATGGAAGTGGTCGCGAGGCTTATTTGTATACTATGTTTACGCTGGAATTGGAATTTTGGAATTGACCTTGTGGAATTGACCTTCGCAGTAGGCTTCTTTACGCCGGAAGTGGTCGCGAGGCTTATTTGTATACTGTGTTTACTTGTGGAATTTTTAGTGAAATTGACCTTCGCCGGAGATGGAGAGAAGAATGGAGAAGAAAGAAAAGAGAAATAAAATGACTAAATTACCCTCATAATTTGACCATTAAAATTTTTCCGGTGAGATTTGGCCGGCAATTTGGCCGGCGTGACCAAAATTGATAGAAATTGCATAGTCAAGGTACTAAATTATCATTTTTGAAAGTCAAGTGCTGCAATTAACATGACCCCAATAGTCAGTGGACCAAAATTGAAATTTTCTCTAATTCTTCATATTTGTTAACAACTTTTGAGTTATGAACTCATCATCAAGACATGGTTAAGAATTTTGGTAAATACTTGAATTTGTAAATACATATTATTTTTATTTATTCTCTCAATTCATGTATATGAGTTAGGTTCTACATATGCCATGATGCTTTGAAATGGTAAATACATGTGGTTATATGTTAAATTGTATGTATGTACGTGCAAATGTAAATGTGTTCATCTATATATATATATATGGGTTAAATATACACGTGTTTAATATTTACTAGTGAAACAATGATTATTGCACTATTTTCCATTATTGGAATTTACTATATTCACTTAAAATGACTTCATGCCTTAGGAAAAGATAATATTTACTATATTGATCATGTAGATTGATTATGTACTATTCCCTATTTTTGACATTTATGCTTCTTTTGAAAAATATATATAAAATGACTACATGGAGAAGTATGAATCTATATGAGAACATGTGGAATATTCCATTTTCACATTCTATTTAAAATTTGCTTACAAGACATGTTTTTCACATGAATATCAACTACTGTTTCTATAAGTATAAGTTGCATCAAATGATGATCTTATGGATCATGCCTTTCATTAAAAATGTAAATTTATTGAGCTCACTTATGAATGAAGCAATTATTTAGCTTGAGCTCTTGATATTGAAATATATTCGGCATCTAAAGAATTGAGTCAAGTTTTTTGTTGCTAAGTCATAGAGCACCGATGCCTAAAAGGCACAAGCTGTCATTTTCATACGTCACCACTTGAACCACAACCTTAAAAAAAATGAGTGTCTAATTGAAAAAGAACCCCTTGAAATAATGGAAGTCCCTGAAGGACTATTCCGACCAGAAGTCATCAAATGTTCTTCCTTAGACACATTTTGACTAGTTTAATCTCATGTTTAATTTTGAGATTATAATGTAAGTCAGTGATTAATTATAATTCAGCTATGCACAAAATAGTCTCGTAAGTGAAACTCTAACAAGAAGTTTCAGAGAAATATTTAATTGGAAAGACATTGCCAACTTTTCATGAGAGTAATTTGTACTCCAGCAGTAGTACAAGACAACAAATTATGAGAAGCATCCTAAGCTGTTTTTAGCACCCCTTGTGGCTAAGAAACATAACTAGTTGTTGATGAAGAATCAAAATGCATGTCTGGTCGATTTTTGCATAGGTTCTTGAAGCACATAATGTTACCCAGTTGAGCAACTTTATAAGGGGTTGCGGTCGAAATTATAATCGGTGTGGTATGAGTTTCGAGCTCAGAATAAGAAAGAAAGTGATCAAGATATTCAAGGACGACCAAACTCATCGAGGCAAAATCCTAGCCAGAAGCAGGTTTGTTAACAATGTGGGTTTGAAGGGCATTGATCCCTACGTGCCGCACACCAAAGCATTTGGTCGTCGAAGAATGTACCTCATCTTGATGATTTTTAGGTAATTTTCCTGAAGCAAATACTGTGATAAATGATGATAATGAAATGATGAGGTATTGATGAAGAAATGATTGGTGTCATGATAATGTTTGAGTAATTCATGAAAATATATTCATGGATAAAAAGGTTAGCTAGCTCATGCCTGAAGCATGAAGCATCCGAGAAGTTAACTTATGTCTGAAGCACCCGAAAAGTTAATTCATTGCCGCAATAACTTATTGCGTAACCGAGTAGTATATACACTCCAAATGTGTTTTTGAGTGCAAAGTTTTTTTTTTTTTTGGAGGCAAATTATTATGAGTGCAAAGTGGCTTTACTTTGCTGATTTTTCTTGGTGTTTTTACTACTCGAATTGACTATTCAAAAAGTTTACCTCTCTAAGCTTACATCTCTTAGCTTACCTCTGTAATCTTACTTCTCGATTTACTTCTTGAATTTTTACTTTCTGGAACTTTATTTTTCAGAGGAAGTTTACTTCTCAGAATTAATTCTATTAGTTTGCATGCTTATTTATGGAATTTTTTTCTCATGCATGCAACATGACTCTCATATGAAATTGACTGGTTGCTAATTCAAGATTGAATTATTGTCAATCCCGGAAGGATTGCTATTATCAACAAATTATGAGAATCTTCTTTTGACTAAATTTATGATGTCAACATGACTAAATTCTCTCAGAATATGACTTAGTGCAATTCTGTGTTGTTTAGGGATTTGTATACTCCTTTATAAAAATGATCTTTGACTTATTGTCATACATGATATGATTGATTTAGATGTTATTGGTTTGGAAGATAGAAATGAATTATATCATATCAATTTGCCTGAAGCAAACGAAGGAATAAATTATTTCATATTAGTTTGCCTGAAGCAAATGAGGGAGTGAATTATATCATGTGAATTTGCACGAAACAATTCCCAAACCAGTGAGTGACCTAATGTAAAGTTCAGGATAAGGATTTTTAGAAGATCTTGAAGATCTATTTTATTTGACAAGCTTCACAGCTTCCCTATGATTGTTGTGTACCCTTAGCTTGTAATATCATTTGATATGTATGCTTTCATATATGATTATATATTTTCTTGTTGGGGACATCAGTTTTATATGCTATTGTGGTTATCACAATCTCACCTACTGCATATCATAATTATTCCCCCTAGAACCTAGTACGTGGTATAAAACTAAACATTTCCCATCTGCGTTTTATTCACAGTGTGCAGTCTTTTTCCTATATCACCACCATAGAGTACCTTTGTGGGCATGTATATATTGATTATAAACCTCTGTCTGTTATTTAAATTCTTAGAGCCCATGATAAGGGATCAATATATAATTAGGTACGCTGATTGCACACTTTATGAAGATCATTTCACGGCATTAGGGGGAGATAAGAGCTCAAATTTAATAGAATGCCGAGAAATTCTATGGATGATTGATGAAAAAGATCTTCAATATTTAAATCCACGTACTAGGTAGACTGAACTAGAAGTTCAGAAGAAGTAAACTGAATTAGAAGTTCAGAAGATAATTAATCTGTCAATATATATATATTGATCATAAAAAGAGTGACTAGGTCCTACATATTTTCCCCAACTTGGACCATATGTATCTACCAATGATCCTTGACGCCAGAAGCGTGGAGACATGTTGGTATAATCCGCGGAAAGCTAAATCTAGTAGAAAATGGTGTCACTCTTGAAATCGCTTAAAGAAGTATGTCCTGAAGACATTCGTCCAGAAGGCGAAAATCCCAGTAAAATTTTAGGTGCACCGGAAATCATAATACTGGGGATGCGGAACGACCAGATAAAAATATCTTTG